GCAGAGCGAGACTGGAGCAACTCCCACAGCTCCCACCAGAGATCGCTGTTGGCCAGCTTGGACGAGTGAGCTCTGCCTCCCGCATGCGCCCTGAGAAGATTAACGCGATCGGTCACCACGTGCAGATCTTGGGTCGGGCCAACGTGACGCACGCATTCCACAGTCGCCGCAAGCTCTGCACGTGGGACAGTTTGCCTAGCAGGGTCTACAACACCTGTGACAGCACAATCCCAATCGAAATGATCCCCTCCCCCAGATCCAAAATCCGATTGGACCCCCCTCCCAAAGTCAGGGCACGATCTCGTCAACGCGCCCACGGGGCCGCTGGGGCCTCCAAATAGACCCAAGACGGCAAGCAGAGCGCAAAGACAGTCCAAGAGAGCATCGAGACGGCCCAGGGTCGCTCCACGACGGTCCAAGATTGCTTCGAGGCGGCCCACGAGGCCCCCAGCACGGCCCAAGAGTGCTTCCAGAAGGCCGCCGAGACGGCGGCAAGAAACAATCTATAGTCGACCCACGAACCCAGAAAATGATGTAGAAACGCGAGGCATGGCTAAAATGTTAACTTGATGGGGGGCGACAAGCAATTGCAATTCTGAGGGCGATCGTGGTTGCCGTGCCAAGAACTGCGCTGTGCTGTGCCGTGCTGAAATGAGATGCGCCATGCCGCGGTAAGTTACGTTGTGCTCTACAGCGCTGTGGATCAAATCGCCCTGAGCATGCGAATCCTGACCGACTTGACCAACATCTGATGCTTGAGCTGCCTGGGCGCAAAGCTGGTCCAGAGCTGGCTGCCGTCGAAACGCGTGGCACGCTCAATCAGCTCGAGCTCAAGATTCGACTCAACTCCTAAGCGGGACGAGACGACACGGGGCGCAAAGCACATGGACGCGCAACGGAATGTGCCAGTGGCGGACTCGGGAATGCGCCAGGGGACGCGTCAAGGGATGCGCCACGGAACGGGCAGGGGCGCCCCGTTCTGGGCCGCTAGGAACCAACATGTTTTCGCGCCTGTCACGCTCTGGGGCGTTAGGAAATGCGTGTTCTCACGCGTGTCCCGCCCTGGTGCGTTCGGAGCCCACGCGTGTTCACGCTTATCCAGGCCTCGGAACAAATTAGCGAACACTCATGCCACATTCATCTGTCAACGCCTCCCTCTCCCCCTAATGTTCAAAGTTGGCGGTGTGTCTGACGACGTGCACTTCGACCGCAGTCTCCCCCGCGCGTGCCGACATTGAGTTTTGGGAGGAGGGGGGGTGTTCAGTAATTGTTTCCCTCTACCGTCCCGCTCTTGGGCCTTAGGAACCCACGTGGTTTCAGGTTGGTCCCGCCCTGGGGCGCTAGGAGCCCACGCGTGTCCACGCGTGCCCCGCTCTGGTGCGCAGGACCCCACCGTGATTTCAGGCTTGCCCCGCTCTGCGGCGTTAGGAACCTACGCGTGTTCACGCTTACGCCGCTCTGGGGCGTTCGGAACCTACGTGTTTTCACGCATGCTCCGCTCTAGGGCGTTCAGGAGCGCACCAAGAAACATATTGTTTTCAGGCTTGTCCCGCTCTGCACCGTTGGGAAACCACGTGTTTTCACGCTTCTCTCGCTCTGGAGCGTTAGGAGCCCACGTGTGTTCACGCTTGTCCTGCTCTGGGGAGTCAAGAACCAACATGTTGTCACGCTTGCCCCGCTCTGGAGCGTTTGGAACCCATGTGTTTTCACGCTTGTCCCGCTCTCGGGAGTTAGAACCCACATTCCCAAAACCATCTGGGCATCCCCTGGGGCGCCGGTGCACCGCAAGTTCTGCAACAGAAGCGTGTCGCTCGAGAACCCATCGAAGTTTTGCGCGCAGGACGCGCCATCCTGGAGCGGGCACGCAACACGTCAAAATTTGTGCGCTGTTTTTACATGTGTAAGAAGCCTTCAGACCTTCTGATTTATCCAAGATTCTGCGCAAAACGCTTCTAACCTTCTTGTTGATGAGACAAAGCGGAGGTGCGCGGAATCCGCTATTTTACAAGATCCGAAACGGGGTGCGTACTGTCCTAAAGCGGGCACGCGCGAAACGCATTTGTTAAACACACCATGTGGTTTTACTTCCTTATTACTCGCGCATGATTCTGCCAACCCTACGCGAAGTTGGCACCAAGGACATACTATAATCCTACAAGACACCTCTGGGCTTCAACCCTCTCCGAAAAAAACGGATCGACCCAAGAACCCGGAAAGGGAATTAGGATTGCTAGGCCTGGGAACGCTCCAAGCACCGCAGTTGGGCGATAGACAGTGGCGATGCTGAAGATGTCAATGGTGATGCGACTGTGCCATGGAGCTGTGTTGTGATTCTCTGCGCTGCGCCGCCCTGCACAATGACGTGCCAGGGGACGGGCGATGTAGACACGATGTCCGATTACGCATGGTAATGTAGCTTCGTGAAGCGAATACGTCACGTCGGCCCCCCTCAGGGGCCGAAGTGGCTTGAGCCAAAGTGCTACGGAAGTGTGTTCACGCTTGTCCCGGTTTGGGGCGTTAGGAGCCCACATGTTGTCACGTTTGTCCTGCTCTGGGGCGTTAGGACCCCGCGTATGTTCACGCTTACCCCGCTCTGGCGCTTTAGGCACCCACGCGTTTTGACGCTTGTCACGCTCTGGGGCGTTAGGGGCCCATGTGTCGTAACGCGTGGTCCGCTCTGGGGCGCTAGCAACCCTGATGTTTCCACGCTTGCCCCGCTCTGGGGCGTTAGGAACCCACATGGTTTCACGTTTGCCCCGCTCTGGAGCGTTAGGAACCCACGAGTTGTCACGCTTGTTCCGTCCTGGGGCGTTGGGGACCTAGGTGTGTTCGCGCTTATCCCGCCCGCTCTGGGGCGTCAGGGACCCAAATGAATTAACGCGCTTGTCCCGCTCTGGGGCGTTCGGAATCCACGTGTTTTCACGTTTGTCCCGCTCTGGAGCGTTAGGACCTCACGTGCCTTCACGCTTGTCCAGGTCGGGCGTTAGGAACCCACGTGTTGTCACGCTTGTCCCGCTCTGGGGCGTCAGGGACCAAAGTGTTTTCACGCTTGTCCCGCTCTGGGGCGTTAAAAAACATGTGTTTTCACGCTTGTCGCGCTCTGGGTCGTTAGGACCTCACGTGCCTTCACGCTTGTCTGGGTCGGGCGTCAGGAACCCAAGTGTTGTCACACTGATCCCGCTCTGGGACATCAAGGACCCAAGTGTGTCCACGCTTGTTCTGCTCTTGGGCGTTCGGAACCCACGTGTTTTCACGTTTGTCCCGCCTTGGGGCGTTAGGAACCCACATGCTCATGCTCTCACGCTTGACCCGCTCTGGGGCGTTAGAAACCTACGTGTTGTCACACTTGTCCCGTTCTGGTGCGTTAGGGGCTCACGTGTTGTCACGCTTGTTCCGCCCTGGGGCGCTAGGAACCCAAGTGTGTTCACGCTTGTCCCGCCCAGAGACGTTTGGAACCCAAATGTTTTCACGCTTGTCCCGTTTGGGGGCGTTAGGAACCCACGTGCCCTCACATACCCAGGGCCACGATCCCTCGTAGACAGCGGTGCGACAGCACTGCCAGAACCATCTTGGCGTCCTGGGGCGCCCAGGCCTTTCAAGCGCTGCGAAACAAGAGTTTCGCTCAAGACATTCTCAGATATTCAACGCGCAGGGCGCGCCATCCTCCAGCCGGCATGCGAAAAGCCAACATTCGCTCTGCAAAACAAGCGCGGGGCCCGAGACGTCTTCGCGAAACCTGCGCGCATGGCGCGCCGACCCTGAGGTAGAGCGCAACAAGTCGGCATTATCTGTGAAATCATAGCGTCTCCGAGCTTGGTTACGCAGTGGGGATTATCTGCAAAACGCTCCGCACATTCTTTTTTTTATGGAGGAAAACGAAAATCCGCGGAACGAGCGTTACCTCTTGTTTATCTCAGATTAATATGCCAGCCTTGCGCGAACTTGGCTCCGGGGACAAGTCTACATATTCAAAAACTCTGGGCGAGAGCCCTTTCTGGGAAAAGAAATCCCATTCTGGCAGAAAAACATGCATTGCAGCGTCCAAGACGGCAAAAGGGGCCGCGAAGATCGTCCCAAGACGGGCCAAGAGACCCCTGAGAGAGCCCCAAGACGGCCCAGGAGGTTCCCAACACGGCCACAGGGGCCCCCACGACGGCCTAGAGAGGCCCACGAGGGCCCCCAAGTGGCCCAATACGTCGAATACGAACTGACAGTTCGAGTCGTTCCTCCCAAGATGGCCCCAAGAATCCCCCAGAGGCCACCGAGGCGCCCCCAAGAGGCTCCATGAGGTCTCCAAGAGGCCCTAAAGAAGCCCCCAAGGGGCTTCCAGGAAACCCAAACAAGCCCCCCAGCTGCCACAAAAAGTCCTCCAAGATGCACTTGAGAAGCATGCAGAGAGCTTCTCAAATATCCTCATATGCATACACGAGGCTCCTGACCCACCAAATTAACTTCCACGAGCGCCGCAAGCTCTCGCTCATTCTGGGGGTTGGCAGAATGGCCTAAACCGCTTGAACAAAACAGTTGACCTACATGGACGAGGGGGGCCAGGAGGGGGAGGAGGCCAGGAGGAAGAAGATAAGAAGCACGACAGGAGGAAAAAGAGAAAAAGGATTCGAGGTCATGGCAATAAAAGAGCGAATGGGGGAAGAGGGGCGGGATATTGAAGAGGGGGAGAACATCGAGGAGGTGTGGGCGGAGGATCCTGGGTCTCCAAACCGTTTGGTGACGGACCGCGCGGTGACCTCGAAATTCCAAGAGACCGTACCGCGCGGTCCATCAAAGCACAATCTTGGGACTTCGGAGAAAGACCCGAGTCCCAAAACCGTGCGGTGACCCCGAATCCTCACTGAGTCACCACGCGGTGCGGTCACCACACCATCTGGGGGCCCCCGAGGAGGAGGAGCAGTAGGAGGAGCAGGAGGAGGGGGAGGAAGAGGAGGAGGAGGAGGAGGAGGAGGAGGAGGAGGAGGTGGCTTGGCTCCACCGGCATGGCGCGCCTCCCTGCACCTCCTTCGCCGCGCGCTTGGTCCGGGCCTGGTCCGGCCCAGACACCACCACCTGCGGGGGCCAGAAGACTGCCCAGGAGCGATATGCCGCCACGGCGCGCGGATCAGACGGCGGCGGAGGAGGAGGAGGAGGAGCAGGAGGAGGAGGAGCAGGAGCAGGAGCAGGAGCAGGAGGAGGAGGAGGAAGAGGTGGTGTGGTGGGCGCCGACTGGAAAGCGTCGAGTCGGGGACGACACGAATGCCATCAGGCTAGGCAAAGGTCGGCGACTGCCCCGCAACCCAGGGACCGGGCCGCTTATGCCACCGCCCTCATATGGAGCGAGGACCGTAACGGGTGGACACCACTCCGCCAAGTGAAACAGTTTCCCGCGCCCTAGGGCGGGGGCGAAACCGTGACAGTAGGAGCCCCCCTCTGGGTATCGGAGAAGGATGAGGAGAATGAGAAGGAATCGCAACAATTGCGAAGCAGCATCCAACACACGACGAAATAATGCGAAAGGCTCTTGGGCCTCATGCCTCTCGTAAACCCACACAACGCAGGGTGATGACTTTTCATGTTTTGTTTGATAGATATACAAGCTATAACCATCAGCCAAATTCAAATTATAGCTGCATCAGTCAAACATGTGTGTATTCATGTTTGTCTCTGTATACACAAGACTGCATTGGCGCTTCGCACCATGTACCTTGGTCCTCGAAATTTGGTATGCAAGCGGAACGGCACGAAGGTCAAACCGTCAATTTAGCCATAGTTCCTTGTTTTCTTTGTTCTGGCATCGCCGATCTAATAATGTTAGTTACTCGTTATCCTTCCTCCATGCCCTCATTCTCGCTCTCCCCCCTGCGTATGCTCCCCATTCTCCTCAACTCTTGTTGCGGAGGCTCCTCCTTGGAGAACCTCTGGGGGGCTCGCAAAAATTGCTCACGCTTCCTTATGAAGGCCTCCTGGAGGCCTCCTGGGCGTCTTCTGGGGGCCTCTGGGGGCTTCCTCGGGCCACCCTGCCTCCAACCGCGGTCTCCCTGAACGACCGGGTCACGATTTGGAGTGCTTCGGAGGGTGTCTTTGGTCCATCTTGGGCTGTCGGGGCTCTCTTAGGCAATCTTGGAATCCTGTTGTGCCGTCTTGGGGCTGTCTTGGGCTGCCTGGGTGCCCTTTCGGATGGTTGTGGGGCGACTTTCGAGCCTCCCAGGCGGCTTCGGACGCCCAGAAGACCGCCGTCTTGGAGCGTCGGGAAGCCGAAAAAAGGAGAGCCCCCAAATTCACCAAAAACTAAAAGAAAATCAATGAATGTTGTCTCTCGGGGCCTTCTCGGGAGTGCTCTTGGAGGCCTCTTGATACGTTTTGGAACCATCTTTGGGGGTATGACGGCTTCTTTTGGGGTCGTCGTGGACCGTCTTGGGGCTCTCTGGGGTCGCTTCGGGAGCGCGCCGGAACGCCTGGAGCCCTCTGGGGCCGTCTTCGGGCTCTCGTGGGGTACTCCCTTTTCTCCTCAGGGAGCCTCCGGACGCGATGAGCGTGCCAAGAACCAGCGAACCACTTCACCCTCGTCGTCCTCGTCCTCCCCCTCTTCCCGCCCCCCACCCTGCCCTCCACTGGAGGACAAGTGCTACTGTTGCAGCGCCATCTCTTGGAGGGAGCTCCTGTCCTCCACTGCAGGGTGTCGACAGCGAGCTGTTCGGGGAGGGCGCGGGCCCCCATAGACAGGTCCGCAGGGCACTCTCCCCAGGGGCTGCTCCGAGCGGGCCGCAGGAGCACGCGTGCGCGTGCGGGTGTCGGCCACAAGCTGCCAGAGGTGGCCCAAAGGCCCCAGGTAGGGACAAGGATGACAAACGATTAACACACACACACACACACCCATACGGTAGGTTCGTGTGGCGTCGGCGCGCGCGAAGCTTTGTGACTCCGCGTCGATCGTTCGACCTTGAATCGATCGCGGCCCCGATCGTTCAAGATTGCATTCCGTCGGGTCCACTGGCGAGACCGTGCCCCTCGGTGCTTCCGCTTCGCAGAATTCAACGTTGAACGACTTCGCTGGCGTCGCCGGCGCGTCAGCGCCGTATGAGCCTACCGTACACACCGGGCGGTCGGAGGGAGGCGGACTGGCTATGGGCATGAGTGCGGATTGTTAGCGGACCCCGGGGGAGGCTCCCGCTCGCACGGGGACCCCCGTCCGACAACACGTACGCATAGCCCCCTCCGTCCCCCCCTGTCGGGCGTTGGCAGAACCTGGGTTTAGTGGAACCTGGTTTAGTGATTTGTACCAGGGGCGCCCCCCCTGTCCCATCTCCACTAACTGGAACTGCCGTCACCCGAAAAACAACAGCTGCGGCAAACCTGGTTTAGTGAATCTGGCCAATTGAGGGGCCCCGGGGCCCTACCACTAACCGGGTCCCCTTATACCTGGGGTCCTGGCCATGCCCGACCCTGACTGGAGCGAAAGATTGGAGCAATCTGGGGTGGACTGCGCCGGCCCCGCTGCCCCTGCACGAGGGGGGAGGGGGGGAGCAGGGCGACGGAGGGCGGAGAATCCCGAGCTGTCTGGGGGTCCAGGGGAGGCCCTCGAGGCCGCCAAGACTTGCGCACCATGCTCTTGAGTCGTCAGATGTTTCGACTTCCTCCTCCTCCCCCTCCCCCTCCCCCTCCCCGTCCCCCTCCTCCTCCTTCTCCTCCTCCTCCTCCTCCTCCTCCTCCTCCTCCTCCTCCTCCTCCTCCTCCTCCTCACGCTCCTGCCATTCGCCGCGGTCGTCCGCGAGGGCGACTGCGCCGACCAGAAGGAGGACGGCGAAGACGACGACAACGACGACGAGGGCAAGGATGAGAACGAGGACGGGAACGAGGACGACGACGAGGACGAGGACGACGGACGACGACGACGACGACGACGACGACGGCGACGACGACGCACTGCGAATGCCCTCTGGGGGCCATTGGGGGGCTTGCGCAGTACTCACTACCCACTACTCAATACTCACTACTCACTAAAGGCAACTCACAACCCACTACTCACTAATCACAGATCACTACTCCCTACCCACTAACCACAATTCATGACTCACTACTCACACTTCACTACCCACTACGCACTGCCTACAACTAACTAGTCACTATCCACTACTCGCTACTCGCTACTCCCTACACAGTACTCGCTACTCACTACTCACTACTCGCTACTCCTTGCCCCCATACTCGCTACCCAATACGCGCTATTCACTACCCACTACTCACTACGCTCCCACTACTCACTACTCATTACTACCTACTCCCTACTCACTACTCCCAACTCACTACTCACTGGTCACTACTCCCTACTCGCTACTCACAACTCACTACGCACTACTCACTACTCGCTACTCCCTACTCGCTACGCGCTACTCCCTACTTACTACTCACTAGTGACCCCTGACTACTCCCTCCTCACTACGCACTGATCACAACGCCCTGCTCGCTACTCACTACTCACTACTCGCTACTCCCTACTTGCTACTCCCTACTCGCAACTCGCTACTCGCTACTAACCACTCACTACTCACTGCTCTGTACTCGCTGCGCACGACTCACTGCTCACTACTCACCCCTCGCTATTCGCTACAGTATACTCCCAAATTCCTGCTCCCTGCTTACTACTCACTATGCACTACTCACTACACACTACTCCCTACTCACTAGTCACAACTCCTTACTCACTACTTCCTTCCCACTACTCACTACTCACTACTCACTACTCACTAATCTCTACGCGTTACTCACTACTGCCACTACCCGTTTCCCACTACTCACTACTCACCACTCACGACTCACTGCGCACTACTCACTATCAAATATCCACTACTCACCAATCGCTACGCAAAACACTCAACTCCCTACTCACTACCCGAGAGGCCCCCTCCCCAGCCCCCTGTTCGGCGCAAAGGGGGGGAGGCCGGGGGGGTCGAACCCCCCCCCCCTTTCCAGCGCCAAGGGGGAGAGGGGGGCGGGTCCAGAACACCCTTGCCCTCTTCAAGGGGGGGAGGGGCGGGGTTCGGACCCCCCCCCCTTCGGGGGGGAGGGGGGGGGGGTCGAACACTTCATCCCCCTTTGAAGGGGGGGAGGGGGGTTCTGCGAGCACGCCCCCTCTTTTGTGTATTCAGGGCCATCCACTGGCGCGCTTTCCATTTTTTGCATCTGCTTGAACACTCCTCCCGCAGAAGGACAAGGCCAACCCACGCTCTGCGGGAGGCCGCCGCCGGGTCTCCACGGGCACCCGCCACCGGGGCCCAGCGAAGGCGCCCCGGGCGGGGGGCCCAAGCTGGCGAGAAGAGAGCCGAGGGGTACCAGCCTGGAACAGATCCCTGTCCCTAAGTTAGGCATTGCCTCATCACGAAGCCGATCTTGGGGATTCCCTTGGTTTTTTCAGGGCGCATCCCTAAGATTGTCATCGCCTTTCGGCGTGTCAATCTTAAGGATAGGGATCAGTTCGAGGCTGGTGGGAAGGCACCCTGGCGCAGGGCCGCCACTCTCGGAGGCCTAGACCTTGGCGCCAGCACCGGCACAGGGGGGGCTGCTTCCACCTGGGGAAGACGATCCTGGATTTCGGTGCTGGTGGCAAGATGTCATCGCCTTTGGGCGTGTCAATCTTAGGGATAGGGATAAGTTCGAGGCTGGTGAGAAGGCACCCTGGCGTAGGACCGCCTCTCTCGGAGGCCTAGAACTTGGCACCAGCACCTGCACAGGGGGCCTGCCTCCACCTGGGGAAAACGACGCTGGATTTCGGTGCTGGTGGCAAGATGTCGGTCACCTCGGAAACCAGAACATGACCACCATCACCGAGATCGGGGTCTTCTTCCCCCGGTGGAGGCACACCGCCGATATTGGTGTTGGTGTCAAACCTCTAGGCCTGCGGCTCTCGCAACTTCAGAATTACTCCGACGGAAGGACCCCGCATGATAATCCCTTTAGCTTGCATGGGGGTATCCTCCTGCCCCTTCCCTTCTCCCACCTACTCTTGCCTCCTCGTTCTCCTCCTGTCTGCTCCTCCTCCTGCCTCAACCCCTGCCTTTTCCTCCTCTTCTTGC